ATGTCAGATGAAGCTTCAGAATCCTTGCCTCCAAGGATCAGCCTTCTCCAGGACGAACCTGTTTGTTCTACTAGTAGTCCACGGTGTATTTAATACTCTTCTCTAACACCACAGCTCTAAGGCATCAATTCTCCTTCAATCATCCCTAGTCATTGTCCAGCTTTCTGATGCATAGCAAGTGATTGCAAAGACCATGGCCTGTATCAGCTGCACCTTAGTCTCCAGACTGATATCATTGCTTTTCAGGACTTTAGAGAGGTCTCAGACAGCAAACTTTCCCAACGCAATTCATCTTTTAATTACCTGGCTGCTGGTTCCAAGAGTGTTAATTAAGGAGCCAAGCAAACTAAAACTGATTACAACCTCAGTCTCTTCACCAACCATCACAATGATGTCAGGTGGCCCAGTGGTAAGAATCTTTGTTTTCTTGATATTGAGCTTCAATCCATATTGAAGGCTGCAGTCCTGACCTTCTGCAACAAATGCTTCAGATCCTCCTCAATTCTGCATGACACAGATCGTTAATGAGTCTTCCTCTAATCCTGATGCCACATTTCTCCTCATAGAGCCCAGCCTCCCGGATAATCTGTTCTGCACATAGATATGACACATTTCTGGTGTACACTCTTCTCAATTTTGAACCATATAGTGTTTCCTTGCTCTGTTCTGACAACTGCTTCCTAGTCCAAGTATAGGTTGTTCATAAGCACCATCAGCAATAGAACATAAGGAACGGAAATAATGAGAAAGATGACATACTGTGAAAATGGCATCCAATGCCACGGAACTAATGGTATGAAAATCATTAAATGAGAAGTTAATATGCAAATTCTGGTAGTACGGTCCTCAGAAAATGTACTGCTAACCTAAAAGTGGTAATTCTCTGTTGGTTCAAATCCACCAGCAACTCTTCAGGATAAATGTGGACAACCTCCTGTGCAATTTACCGCCTCTGAAAATCTACTAAAGGGTCAGCTTTGAGCTGGTTTCAATTAAATGACAATGAAACAATTATGTAGATTATGCAAAATCATCCAGCACACAATAAAGTTTAAAAAAAAAAACAATAAGAAGTCTTTAAATCCCTAAAGTATAATATAGAGATGTAATTTCTAACTGTCTTTTGAATTCATTAGATGTTTTTTACTTTGATGGTGTGAGAAAAACTCATTATCTTCAAAGCAAATGTATTTCTTTGTTCTGAGTGTCATGTAAGAGAAAAATTTTAAGACAGGTGGAGTATGTCATGAAAACAAATAATTAAGATGATGCAACACTGAAAATGTGAAAGAACACCATAAGAAATAAATCACTTTGGTAACTAAAAGCTTTCAAAAATAACCCTAATGTCTTTTTGTCTCCTCTCACTTTATATTTTGTAAAGGGAGCTCTGGTGGTACAGTACCATGGAAGCTGTACTGCTAACGCAAAGGTGGCACCTTGGTTCAAATTCACGAGCTGCTCTGCTACTCCTGAGGGGTCAGCTCTGATTCAGTTCTGACTTGAAGGAATGTTGGGGTTTTTTTGGGGGTGGTGGTTTCCCTTTCCTTTTTTTTTTTTTTTTTACACTGTCAATTTTATTTCTTTTCTAACATGAAAAATGTTATAATTTTTTTCATTGTTGCACATTTTCTTCCCACCTCCCTTCCCCCTCTCTTCTCACAATGCACCCCTTGTTCCAGACTGTTGTCATACATATAATGCCTAATTATATATTCCTTTTGGACAGCTCTTCCCCTCCTCTGATCTAATGCAGTGTTCATTATCTATCCACTCTTTTCCCATTCTCTTCTCAACCCCTTCACGTGTGTCCTATTTTATAATACAGTGTTACACAGTATTTGTCCTTTTGTGACTGAGATATTTCACCCAGCATAATGTTCTCCAGGCTCCCCCACATTGTGTAATGTTTTACGAGATCACTGTTTTTCAATTCTGCCTTGTATTGCCTTGGATGAATGTACCACAGTTTTTCTATCCGTTTGTTTGTTGATGGGTCCTTGGGTGCTTCCTTCTCTTTGCTATTATGAATAACGCAGCAATAAACATGAATGCGCATTGTTGTTGTTATGTGCCGTCGAGTCGCCTGCAACTCATAGCGACCCTATGTACAACAGCCCTAAACTCCGCTCTGTCCTGTGCCAATCGCACTGTCTCTGACACTCCCATCCCAATTATCCCAGTCACTGAATCAATCCACCTCATAGAGGGCCTTCCTCTCCTGCACCGTCCCTCCACCCTCCCAAGCATGATGGAGAGGGCTCCAAGGACCGGTCTCTCCTCATTACATGTCCGAAGTAAGTTAGACGGAGCCTCAGAATCCTTGCCTCCAAGGAGCAACCCGGTTTAACCCTCTCCAGGACAAATCTGTTTGTTTTCCTAGCAGTCCATGGTATTCTCAGTACTCTTCTCCAGCACCACAGCTCAAAGGCATCAGTTCTCCTTCTATCCTCCTTGGTCATTGTCCAACTCTCTGATGCATAACAGGTGATTGCGAAGACTATGGACTGTATCAGACGCACCTTAGTCTCCAGAGAGACACCACTGCTCTTCAGTACTTTGGAGAGGTCCCTAACAGCAGACTTTCCCATGGCAATGCGCCTTTTAATTTCCTGGCTGCTGGTGCCAAGACTGTTGACTATGGAGCCAAGCAAACTAAAGCTGTGTACAATCTCAATCTCTTCACCATCCGTCCTGATGCTGCCGATTGGTCCAGTGGTGAGAATCTTTGTCTTCTTGACATTGAGCCTCAATCCATATTGCAGGCTGCAGTCCTTGACACTGCAGCAGGTGCTTCAGGACCTCCTCAGGGACATTAAAATTTAATTGTTCTTCAGTTCTCAAACTCTGACACTTTTTAATATACTTAACTTTCTTTTGGGCAGGAAGAGGAATGGGAAGGGTGCTTATTATATGGTAGAGTTTTCAAAAGATTTAGGAAGATATGGGCATTTACATTACAGCAGCACAAAACCAAAAAACGGAACACTAGGAACTATTAGTCATTTCTACAATGCATGTCCTCTCCTTTAGAAGAAAAAAAAAAGATAGAAAAATTATCAAAGAAGTAACATAAGAAAATTTTGTATAAAATAATGGTAAATTTCTAGATCAAAGAGGCACCTGGGGGATGTATTCATATATATATAATCATAGTAAAGATACTATTGTATCAAACATTGCCATTTTATACCCAATGATCAACTCTTACTTTCTCTCCTTCTTAAAATTTTTTTTAAAAAATCAGTTGATTTCTACTCAGGGCAACGCTTCACCAGATTTCCAAGGCTATAAAAAGACCATCAACGTTCTCTTGCAGAATGTCTTCCTTACTGAATAAACCCTAACTCTGCTCAGTCACAGTTACAATAACCACTTCTCCCCATTCCCTTCAGGCTATGGGCAATCATGTGGCCTAGTTCTGTCCAAAGAGACAGTAACAGAGTCAAACTTCCCACAAACAAAATTCACTGCCATCCAGTCAATTGTGACTGGTTTTCTCCTCACAGTGGATTTGAACTGCTGGAGATATGCAGCCACTATTTACTGACCACCAAACCTCTTTTTTAACAGAGCCAGCAGGTGTAAATTTCAGAGCTTTTTACGGACAGACTGGACTGCCTATGGTCCCCTTATCTTCCTCTTTCTCACACAGAAGAAAACCATCTTTTGCCCATGAGATGGTATGCATGAAAATACAGGCCTAATGTTTAAGAACGCTGCATGAAATACAGAAAGATTCTGGATCCCTGACACTATCACTGAGGGATATGTTACTCTATCCATACAACGCAATATATTCTTGAACTTTGTGTTATATAAGGGAAAGTCACAGTTTACTGATTTTCTGTTATTTGTAGCCTAACATTCCCATATATTCCTTATACTTCAAATTTTCTTATTTTCCACAAATAATGTAGGACAAAGCCTGTGAAAACCAAAACCTATATGAAGAAAAACTAACATATTTCCCACTAAAACGAACAACAAAATATAAAACTGTACCCTGTGAGATTGTTCACAGCTTCAGTTTGCTCGGCTCCACGGTCAACACTCTTGGCACCAGCAGTTATGAAATCAAAAAGCGTATTGCGATGGGAAAGTCTGCTGTTAGGGACCTCTCAAAGGTACTCAGGAGCAACGGTGTCTCTCTGGAGACTAAGGTGCGCCTGATA